AGAGGAAGGGGAGCTGCCACCCTGTGGCTGAATCTCTGTGAGCTTCTTGAGCTTCAGGTCCACATGCCTGCTGTTCATCACACCTAAAGAGAGAGAGAGAGAGAGAGAGAGAGAGGAAGAGAGAAAGCATTATATGCAGTAGGCCACTCGTCTCTAACACACAGATAAGCAGAGGACATGACAATGTTTGCCCTTAAGCAAACCGGCTCTCTCAACCTCATACACACTCACATATACACACACTGGAGAGATAGCAAGATGCTGAGAGCACAACACACCTGGAATGTCTCCCTTGACACTCACATACACACACAAAACACACACGCTATTACATATCAACCTCAGAAAACAAACTGTTCCAACTCACAACTCTGACTGGACGAGCCGTATTTGAATTTGACCTTTGACCACATGTCAGCGGAATTCTAAAGTGCCTGTCATTGGAATGTTCTGTTGCTTGGCAACTGTAAACAAATTTGCTTTGGCCAAATTCTAAAGCATGTTTACTTTTTTTTTTTTTTTTTTTTTTAAAAACAAGTATCACCATTACAGCTTTTCTTATTTACATTATCAAAATCATTAGTTATTAGTGATGTATGATGAAGTCGTTTATTTAAGAATTTTAAGGAGTAAATATGCCTTTATATGCTGACATTCAGAAACTGCTATTAAATTTCAAATATTTTAGGAGGTTATGAGTCATTTACACTACTATCTGTAATAAGTCACTGATTAAACAACCTCTATAGAGCAAGATTAATAAAATCCAAAAAAATGAAAAATCATTTTAATATTGTATTTAATAACACAATGTAATAAAATGTAATAATTAAAATTATATAAAACTAAAAAAAGCTAAAAACAAACATTAAAATAAAATGTATTTATTTTAATATTTATTGTTTTATTTATTTTTTTTTAATTATTTTTGTTAATTAAATGTGAAATTTTGAAGTAGAAAAATAATAAGTAACATCATCTTATATGAAAAATCTGAAGTCACAGCTAAAATCCTAAATAAAAAAATACAATCCCATGATGCACTGCAACAAGCTCCAAAAATATCCAAAATGGCAGATGAAGTGAGATGAATGTATCTACAATTCAATCAATGCTGAAAAGTATTAAATCTAGTTAAACGTGGTTATCTGACCCAATATTTATGCATTATGTTATTCATTTAGATGTCATTTAAACACGTCTGTGTCTTTCCTCATGCACACGGATAAACGATGGAAACGTGTCTCCCATCTGCTGTCATTTCCAGCAGTGACGTAACGGTTCTGCTTCAGTCACAAACTACAATCAGTCGGAGAGACTCATGACTGACAAACAAACGAACAATTAGCAAGAGACAACAGACAACGACTGTCATCAGAGAACACATCACCAACAGTCTAGATCAGTGTCTGCTGTGAGTTATGAGCATTTACAGAGTGACTGTTCATGACATACACTAGAACTGAATGATTAAGGGGGAAGAAGAAACAAAATCGAATTTTTCAGATAGAGAAAAGAATTTCATTTCCGGATCGATTTAAAAGGAAGAAAAAAAAAAAAGAGAGATAAAATACTGTGATTCTATATCAATACGACTATAAAATAAAATAATAATTAGTATTTTTATTACTATTATTATTATTATTGATATTTTCATCCTTATTATTTTTAATGTTTATTCAAATAATTTACAAATATGAAATTACTATAGTAAAAATACTGGAAAATCCATTAATAATAATGACATTTTATTTTACAGTATAACTGCAGAATTACAATACTATTATTTTATAAAAAAAAATTTTTATAATATTATTACACAATAATATTTGTCTTTATTTTCAAATGTTAAACCATCAAGCGTTTATTTTGACAGAAAACAGCCTATGACTGCAGGCCAAAAATAAGTCAAGACTATAATATAAAATATAAAATTATTAAAATTATCATTATTATTTTACAATTAAGAAATTACTATTGAAAAAAAGAACAATGAAATAACATTGATAAATTACAGTACTAATATTTAATCTTAATGTTTTCATTTCCACTTTTATTTCGGCAGAAAACTGCAGTGAGCCCTAAAAGCATCTCCTTTGTTGCCAGTGGGTTTATAAATTCTTCTCATTACAAAATCGTTACATTATTGTTATAAAACACTGGACCGTGTGTTTGGACTAAAGCAGCTCATTTTCACTGTAGGACCGAGTTTCCGGTGCGGCAGAAACGTCTGATCTCAGGGCTACGTGTTCACAGGCGTCACGTAGTGGATTAAACATTGATCTGAAGCGACCTTGAGCCGCCGTTCACATCACAGGACGAGGTGAAAGACCTTCGCCTGGCATCAGACGCGAGTGAAGAAATCAACCACACCAACGTATGAGAACGCCAGAGCCAGTCCCACGCAGAGACAAGCTCTCGAATGCATACTCTACAGCATGCAACAAGAGTTTTATGTTTTCAGAAGAAACTGGGAGAGGTTCAGACGTCTGAAGACCTTGCTCTGAACTCGGCACAGTTTGATGATTGAGAAAAGCAGAAGGTTAAACATTACAATTAAAAACCCTGAACATCAGTGAAAAACTCGCTCTCACACACACACACACACACACACACACACGCACAAACACACACACGCACACCATTAACTGTAAATGTTCTGTAAAAACAACAGCAGTTTTCAGCCTGTCACCATGATGCAAACATGACATATCAGACATACAGTAGGTTTTTTATTCGGTTGCACTGCTTTTCCATTGTTTTTTTATATGTAAACATGGATGCGTTTGACTGTTACGCTCGCGTCTCTTGCATGAAACGGCAGTCTAAAAACACGCCGCTCAAGTTAAAAGAAGTTCACTCCCATCTTCTTGCAAGTTTTTCCTATTCCACTGCCCGCGTCGCATCTTTGTCAACACAAAAGCGCATTCTGTGAATGAGCGGTTAATCACGTGCACCGACATGCGGTTGGCATATTGTCAAAGTGTCTAATTCTAACGTTTGGTAATATTT